GTTCCAGAAGAGAAAGAAAAAACGAAGTACAAAGGATAATCACCCAACTGGAAAATATCCTTGAGGTCATCTACTCTGACCCCCCTGCCCAAAGGTGAATGTTGAAGAACAACTTGAGCCTCTTCAGCAAAGGAAAGACAAATTCCCCTTCAGAGTCAGGCCATAACCACATCAAACACTGGGAAGTTTTTACTAATGTAAAAAAATAATAATCTACTTCCCTATTGATCAGACTTCTGCCCTATGACAAAACCAGAACAGGGCTTGTTCCTCTTAGGCGTGACAAAACTCTTTAAATGTTTGATTACCACTAGCACAGCACTTTCCCATCTCACTTTGGATACACACACATACAGTACATAACCCTTTCGTGCTTTTCTCTCCCAGCTTGCCAACATATAGGCAGTCCTCAACTTATGACAACCGTTCCAAAATTATGACAGAACTGACAAAAAGGTGATCGGTCATCACACCACTGCAATGTCCCAACAGTCACATAATCAAAATCTGGGCAGTTGGCAACCGACACGTATTTACAATGGTTGCAGTGTCCCAGAGGCCATGTAATCACCATTTGCGACCTTCCCAGATGGCTTCTGACAAGCAAAACCAATGGGGGAAGCTGGATTGTCTTAATAGCTGGCTGGGGGATTCTGGGAGTTGAAGTCCAGACATCTTAAAGTGGCTGAGGTTGAGAAACTCTGCTCCAAAGGGACTGAAGGAGTGGGATCCAGTCAAAGCTTCATTGAATCAGAAAGCAAAGTCCGGCTTCCCAAACCAAGAGAGATAATTCAGATTAGATTCAATCCACCCCCCCTGGCATTCAACCACGCCTGGCCTAAGTTAACCCTGGCTTCTTTCCAAGCTGTGGGTGGTGGCATTGTAAACACAGGGTGAGCCGGGCTTGATAATCTCCTTGGCAGCAACGCACACGGCCTCATTTCATAACCAGGAATGCCCTCCGGTGTCAGATGATACACCCCCCCCTGGTCCCAGCATCCACAGCCAGAAGAAACAATGGAATTTGTAATACAACCAGGATTATCAGCAGGTTACTGGTTGTTTCTTAGCTGACATAGATGAGGTAAAAGGAAGAGAGACCCTCTTAATAAGCTCTTTTTTTTCTTCTTATCCACCCTGAGGAATTCTGGGAGTTGAAGTCCACAAGGTTGCCAAGTTTAGAGAACCCCTGTGCTTTAAAGTATCAGCCATGGATGGAGGGGGGGGAGCAAATTTTTTATAAAGCTGGGCAGTTTACCAGAGGCCCTGCTCAGCCTTCCTCAATCTGAAGCCCACCAGATGGCCTCATCCAGCAAACATCAAGAGCCCCACACCCGAGGGGCCCTATCAAGCAGGACATTCGGCCTTCAGAATTAACAATTCAGAGCAAAGCTTTCCAAATTTACAGCATTTGGGCTTCCTACGCTGGGTCCTCAAAATACCTGGGGGGGGAGGGGTATTCCAAGTGTCTATTTCCCTTAGAAATGTTTGACCCACAAACATCTGTGTACAGGTAGTCCTCAACTTACAACAGTTCATTTAGTGACTGCTTAAAGTTACAACGGTGTTGAAAAATGTGACTTATGACCGTTTTTCAGTTACGACCTTTGCAGCCTTCCCCCATGATCATGTGATCAAAATTCAGGCCCTTGTCAACTGACTCATATTTGTGACCAAGTCACGTGATCCTCTTTTGCGACCTTCTAACAAGCAGAGTCAATGGGGAATCCGGATTCACTTAACAACTGGGTTATTTAACAGTGGCAAGAAAGGTCGTAAAATGGGGCAAAACTCACTCAACAAATGTCTCACTTAACAACAAAAATTTTGAGCTCAATTGTAGTCATAAGGACTACCTGCATGTCTTTGTTGGCCAGTGAGGGCCAAAGGGTAGGACAGGGGTAGGGGGCAGGCAACCTTGGCTCTTTTATGATTTGTGGACTTCAACTCCCAGAATTCCTGAGCCAGCCATGCTGAGGGGAAAGGGAGGTTTTCCAAGCTGAGCCAGGCTGGCTCAGGAATTCTGGGAGTTGAAGTCCACAAATCATAAAAGAGCCAAGGTTGCCTACCCGAAAGATACCAGCAACTTTTAGCTTTTTTGTGGTGCTTTTTTCCCCTTTCCAATTTCTTGAGAAATAAGCCATGCCAAAAATCTTTTCCAAAGCCCGGAACTGTTACAGATTAATCCACGGACCACTGTGTGTGCTCATCTCTCCTCTTCCCTCCTCATCACTTCTTCCTTTCATCTCTTGCCTTTCAGAAAAGGTAACTTGTGGGCAGGGAACACTTCCTGCTTTAATATTATTGAGGATCATAGACTCATAAGGGCTGGAAGGGACCTTGGAGGTCTTCTAGTTCAGGGCTCTTTTATGACTCGTGGACTTCAACTCCCAGAATTCCTGAGCCAGCATGGCTCAGCTTGGAAACCTCTCCCTTTCCCCTCAGCGTGGCTGGCTCAGGAATTCTGGGAGTTGAAGTCCAGGAGTCATAAAAAAGCCAAGGTTGCCTACCCCTGTTCTAGTTCAAAAACCCCTGCTCAAGACGAGAGCCACATCAAACCCTTAAAACCCCACTGCCTAAATTGCCCTTCCTTCTCCAAGCAAGACTATCTTAGTCTTATGGCACATTCTCGCTCCTGAAAATATCCCAGGGTGTCTCATCTGTGCAAAGAGGAAGGAATGTGCAAATAACAAAAGCAATTTAATCAGAGCCAGAGTTATCACAAACAGAAGGCCAGCTAGCAAGTCCCTCTTCACTTCATCACTCTTTGATATCTTCCCCACCCCCATCCCATATCTATTTCCTCTCTAGGTCTCCCTATCCAACCCTTCCTTTTCTGCATTTTAACTACCATAAACCTGACTGACTTCCAAACCCCTCCTTCCACCCTCCCTTTTCTTCTCGTCTGTCAACTGGGTGCAATGTGATTTTCCCCCCCCCAACACTCTGCAATCCCTTGACTTCCCTTGCAACTCAATGTTTTGTTTTGTTTTAATTGCAAAAGAACAGGAAGGGATATTATGTTGGGTTACAAAAAATTAGAAGTCACACGCAACAAGGGAAGGGACAGAATTAAGTGAAGGAAAAGTTGGAAAGGAAGAAGAGTGTTTTGTGTTTGCTAAAGGGAGGGGTGGAGGCAAAAGTGAAGGGTACAAAACCCTTCAGACAGGGAGGAGAAAATGAACAAACAGGCATTTAAAATGCAAGGACTGTAAGACAGCCTATGCAAGAATGTCAAGGGGATTCATTTTGAGCAGAGGGCCAAGGAAGTAAAACCTTGACTCCTGTAATTCTCCTCCCAGGGTGGAGATAGCTAAGGAATACTATTATCTGGCTGGAGAAAACCCTATTATCCTCAGCTCTTTGGAGAAGCAACTTTTCTCAAAAAGACTTCCTTAAAAAAAGGGAGGGAGAGGGAGGAGGAGGGAACTTAGAGAATAGGTAGGTCCCCAAAATCAAAGTCAGTCTTTCTACATATCAGCTCAGCCAGGCTTCACCAAACTTAAGTATCAGTGACAAAGCAAACTATGATACCTTCTCATAATATTCATTCATTGCTATAATTGATCAGTGGAGACAGATCTAGGAGTTAAAAATCAGACAGATTTGGGTTTGTTTTTTTTTAAAAAAACACACTTAATGAGTTAAACAGAAAGTCTAATGAATGAAGATCAGGAAGGATGAGCAAAAGCAGTAGAAATTAAAAGCAAGTGGAAAATTGCTTAAGTCAGGACCTAAAGTAAAATACAACTGGTGAGAATGCGAATAAGAGAATTTGTCTATAGATCTGCAGAGGCGAACCAAAACAGAATTAAGAGCACCCAGCACAGGACCCAGCCAAAAACTTAAGCACTCAACTAGCGTTGATAACACAAACCAGCTGCTCATAAGCTTGCTTGCTTAATCAGAGCATCAAAAAAGATCTGAAAGGGGTTGACTCTGAAATCAGGTTTTCTGTACATGAAGCCTTAGCTTTTTCTGTCTTACTGAAACTACAACTCCCAGAATTCCTCTCTAGCACGCTACCTGGGGAATTCTAGAAAATCTTGGCAAACAATGAGGACATCAAATAGAGCAGAGGTCCCCAACCTTTTGGGCACCAGGGACCGGTGCCATGGAGAACGTTTTTTCCGCGGACCAGAGGGGGTGTGGTTTTGAATACTGCCTGCATCCCGAGGATGGAGCTTTGCTCGTTTGTGCGGCCCGCTTGCTGGCATGCTGCGGACCGGTGCCGGTCCACAGACCGGGGGTTGGGGACCCCTGAAGTAGAGGATACATTTTTATTACTATTATAATAATAAATAAAACTATAGCAGAACTGAAACAATGATAAATACAAGAGAAGAGCAACTACTTAGATAGAAGGGAAATAGGCTAAAACCACTAACTTTCCCATGGACTAGGACAGGGGTAGGCAACCTTGGCTCTTTTATGACTCGTGGACTTCAACTCCCAGAATTCCTGAGCCAGCCTGGCTCAGCTTGGAAACCTCTCCCTGTCCCCTCAGCATGGCTGGCTCAGGAATTCTGGGAGTTGAAGTCCACGAGTCATAAAAGAGCCAAGGTTGACTAGAATCTTGATAAAGAGATTTTGCTTTGTCTCTTGACAAATTCACTATTTATTTATTAATTAAATTCTCTATTTATTCAATCCTGATGTCCTTCCAATGTTTTGCTTTGTGGCCTAAGGTGCCAAACCACTTGGACCCCTGGGAATTGTAGTCCAAACTTCTACAGCAGTGTTTCTCGACTTCAGCCACTGGAATTCTGGGAGTTGAAGTCCACATATCTCAAAGTGCCTGAGGTTTAGAAACCTCAAACCTACAGGGTCCTGCTCCCTTTGCAGTGGACCCATAGTGACAGTGCTGTATCCACTATAACTCCCCATCTTTTTTTTTTTGCCTGCACATCTCTTTCTCTTAAAGATGGAAGAATTGGACCAAGCAAAGTTTTTAAAAGAGCACAGACCGTTTATTCATATCTACCTGAGTCGCATCTTACCTGAGTTTCGGTTAAACTTTCTAACGCTTGCATCACCGACTGTTCTGGCCTGGATGCTTGAGACTGTAGGAGAAAAGAAGAGAGGGAAGTTTAGGTTCTGAATTTCCTGCCCCTAGAACAGGGGTAGGCAACCTTGGCTCTTTTATGACTGGTGGACTTCAACTCCCAGAAATCCTGAGCCAGCCATGCTGAGGGGAAAGGGAGAGGTTTCCAAGCTGAGCCGTGCTGGCTCAGGAATTCTGGGAGTTGAAGTCCACGACAAGGTTGCCTACCCCTGCCCTAGAATGACCTTGGCCTGAAACCATGGTTAGCAAAAGGCTAAAAAAAATTACCATCAAGCCAGCTTCCACCGTGGGCACCAAAGTCAGCTTGCTCCCTTCTCCGACCCCCAAATCTTGCAGCTTGCCTGAATTCAGACGACTGGAGGAGAAAAGAAAGAAAAAAACAGAAGACTTAGTTTTAGAAGGTCAGAAAGGGCCACACTGATTGCCAAACACTTCCTCAAACATTTTAACTGTTTGCAACTGTTACAAAGGCAGAAAAAAAAACAACAGCAGCATAGGGTTTCTAAGGAGGTGGCGATTTAAAAATAATAATAATAATAATAGAAGGCTGCTGTTGCTTATATTATTATTAAAATGGTTCCTGTGACAAAATTAGTTCTAATAAAGATGCAGCCACCAAGAGATCATCTCTCTCTCTCTCTCTCTCTCTCTCTCTCTCTCTCTCTCTCTCTCTCTCTCTCTCCCACTAAGGCGCTCCACTTTCCGCTCCTTATGTAAACATAATATCATAAGTCTCTCTCTTCTCTCTGCTGCCCCCGTGAGAGAGAAGGGGCTGTGGATTCTGCAAGCAGGCAACCCTCCAAAGGCAAACATCCCTTGCTTTTCCTACCGTTCCAGACAATTGAACTGACAGATCTGGGAAGCTAAAGAAGGTTAAAAAAAAAGGGGGGGGAGGGAGAGAAGCAGATAAAAGAATCCCATCAGAAGCTGTTGGAATATTTTTGGTGGGGTGGGGTGGAGGGTCCAGAAGAAAAGAGACTTGAAGGTGGGTGAATTTTGTTTTTCCGGTCTGATTCCCAAAAAAGGATGGGGAGAAGGTAGTTTTGGGGGAACAGATCAATGGATAAAACCAGCTCCCTCCCCCCAACTCATCGTTTACCATTATTCCCATTCTAAGCTTGCACGGATACCTAGAACTTCTTAATTGCCAGAAGGGCTGGGAGATAAAATGACATTATTATTATTATTTTGTTTGAAAGCTAGATTTTAAATCATCTTTCAGTTTTACCTTAAGCTCAGAGGCTGGGAAGATGCATAAAGGAGTAAAAGAGGGGTAGACCATGGGGCCCAGTGCAGCGTTGAGGGCTGACTGTACAAAGACAGAGCTGTTTTGCATCTTAAGGACTGATCCGTTCTGCATTCTCTAACAAAGCTAAGGGGGGGGATTTAGTTAAACAAAGAGAGCGGCTCAGACACTCCAGATAGCCCTGTCTCCCCACCCCCCCAAACCAAACCCTTCCTTCTCTTCTCCCTCACAAAGGACATTTCAAGTCAGCCCCAGCTAGCCTTCCCTGCACCCCCAAGATTTCTCCAGAGATCTTGGGGGGAAAAAATATTTTTTTTAAAAAAAAGCAGTTAGGAGGTCTGCGTAAGTGGCGGCCTGCATCTGTGTGCATGCAAGCGTGAATGTGTGTGTGCGCGCGCGTGCATGTGTGTGTAGGCGTACATTTCTCTCTATGCACTTGCACGCTACCCAAATTCAACCTTCAGAACAAAGGACACCTCCAAGGGAAGGGAGGCGAGGACAGAAAGGGAATCTGAAGCCAATAAATCTTTTTTTTTTTTAGGGGGGGGGGAAACGCTTGAAAGAGGATTTTCCTAGTCTTCCTCTCTCTTCATCTTAAGCAAAGCTGCCAGGACAAATTCTGACCCTGAGATCAGATCAATAGATATTAATATTTTTTTCCCCAGCAGGGAAAAAGAGTGGGGTAAGAAGGGGGGGGTTGCATCGGCATGTTATTTAAGGGGAGGGGGCTACACTCCGCTCTATACAAAAGCTTTCTGAGTTTGACAA